TCCTGGAACTAGCTCTGTAGACCAGGCTGGTCTCGAACTCACAGAGATCCACCTGCCTCTGCCTCCCAAGTGCTGGGATTAAAGGCGTGCGCCACCATCGCCCACTAGATCCACCTCTTACCTCCCACCTAGTATCTGCCCTCTCACCCGATCCTGGAAGTCCACAGTGGCCCCATTCTCCAGAAGTTTCTCCAGTATCTCCATGTGACCCTCCAGGGAGGCTCGATGTAGTGCTGTCCGACGGAACTGCCACCAGAGAGACTGTCAGGCCTGAGTCCTAGGCCTGAGCCTGCATCCCACCAAACTGAGGCCTAGGCCTTGCCCTAACTTGGTGCCCAGGTGTTCTGTGTTCAGTCAGATCTTACTCAGATTGGACTTGGAGCCCCACCCTGTACTCCAGTCATTCTTCCCCAGGCAGCCAGCCATGACTCTGTATAGCTGGTGCAGCTGGCTCCCCTGCTGGGCATGGCTATTCTGTGCTCACATGCTATGATGCTCAGTGATGACTTGCAGCTCATGTGCCCGGAGTTCATTGAGACCTCTATGCCAAGTTGCTCCCAGGTGATGCCTGAGTATAAGGGAGCATTGGCAAGCTCGACTCTTTCCCCTAGTGGTAGGCAAGACCCAAATGCACAGGTCACACCTGGTTACTGATTCAAGGAAGAAACAAACTTCCCTCCCTTAAGGCTACTTTCTGCTTTGGATTCAGGGAACCCTTGCACCATTATGCTAGTCTTTCTATATGCTAATGATCTGGTTATGGGCAGTCTTTCCTGGCCTTCCTCTTGTTTTTACTCTTAGCTTACAGTAAATGGGAGAAACAAGATTAGACCCTGGAGGTATAAGAACAGAAAAGATGTAGACTACTAGAACACAGAGCAGGCCCAAGGGTGGGTGGCCACTGGTAGGTTTGGTCCCATGAATGAGAGCACTCTCAGAGGAAAAAAGTATGACAGTTGACAGAAAAGTTTAAGAAATAGACAGTGGGCCGGGCGGTGGTGGCGCACGCCTTTAATCCCAGCACTCGGGAGGCAGAGGCAAGCGGATCTCTGTGAGTTCGAGGCCAGCCTGGTCTACAAGAGCTAGTTCCAGGACAGGCTCCAAAGCCACAGAGAAACCCTGTCTCGAAAAAAAAAAAAAAAGAGAGACAGTGGCCATAGTCACACGCCACTGCGATAGAATTAGTACCACTCCACATCAGCATGCTTAAAGCAACATATTTCACATTATATATTTCCATAGGAGAATATTAAAAATAGTGGCTGGGCTATGACTCAGTGGTAGAGCACTTGCCTAGCACACACAATGTCCTGGCACTGCAAATAACAATATTAATAAACAATTGTAGGCCAGGTTTGGTGGTGCATGGCTTTAATCCCAGAACAGAGAGGCACAGGCAGGCAGATCTCTGTGAGTTTAAGGACAGCCTGGTGTACATAGTGAGGTCTAGGAGAGCCAGAGCTACACAGTGAGACCTTGTCTCAAAATAAATAAATATAAGGGCTGGAGACATGGCTCAGTGGTTATGAGCACTGACTGCTCTTCCAGAGTTCAATTTCCCAGCAACCACATGGTGGCTCACAGCCATCTGTAATGAGACCTGGTGCCCCTTCTGGCATGCGGGCACACATGAAAGGAATGCTGTACACATAATAAACAAATCTTTAAAAATAAATAAATAAATAAATAAATAAATAAATAAATAAATATAAATAATTGTAAAAAGAAGCAGGAGCGTATGCCATGAGAAAGAAAGTATCCTATTTCTGCCTGTGCTTTATAATCTTTCCATCCACTAAACACTTGTTGGTTCATTTGACCACAACATATTGGGAAGGCAGTAGGCCATGTTCACTATAGCAGAATCTGAGTGTTGGAGAGGCGACAGCCCAGCCACAGGTCCCACAGATAACGAGTGGAGACAGAGGATTTTGGCCCAAATTTCCTGGGCTCTCTTAATTGGATTCCGTTCCTTTATCTCCCATGCAGAAACATGTGATGTTTGTTATGGAGGCCGTCTGGGCTGGGGAACAGTCTAACGAGGATTCGGTGAAATTGTGGACTGAGGAAGGAAGCATCCGCCCTAAGAGCATCCGTGAATGTTCTTAAACAAGCCCACAGATGGAGCTGATCCCGGACCTGACCCGGTTATGGCAGTGGTCCTGAAGGGAGGCAGGCGCAGGGGAGGGGCGCATCACCTCATCGCAGGTATCTGCGGAACCTCCATCGGCCAGGTATTTGTCAATGACTTTCCCTTTTCCTTCCACTGCAGCCTTCAGGAACGTCTCCTCGTCCACAGGGCCAGTCTGCGGGAAGAGCATCCACTCACAGAGAATAGTAGAGAGTTTGGGGACTTTCGGGCTCCCCCTGCCCACGTTTGTCCATCCCAGGACCCTTACGATCTCCTCTGGCTCTGGAGGTGGCTCCTGGGCAGCAGCCAGTGCATCTCGCTTCTTCTGCTTGCGTTTTTTCCTCAGTTCTATGAGGTTCTGGATCCCACCCACATCAATAATCTCACGCCGCAGGTCCAGGGATGTCTTGCGTACACGCTCTTGGCCCTGCACGGGGATGGCTCATCACCTCCACACTGGGGCACAGAGTGTGGGGAAGTTGGATAACACAGGAGTTGAGCTGTCGAGCTGCCCTGTCGTTCGTTCCCCCACTTACCTTAACCTTTTGTAAAGCAGGGCTCTGCACCCCAAGGCGCTTTTCATCCTCTAGAACCAGCAAGTCCATGGACAACTTCCCAGGGGTGGCTCTTCGAAGTTTCTGGGAAGCCATTGAAAGAAAGCTACCTAAGATTATTTGGTGACAGCTATGCTGGTGTGGTTCTCAGCCAAATGGAAGGTTATGAGAATTTTTTGTCAGGGTGTGTTAGTTCACACCTACAATCTCAGCACTCAGGAGACTGAAGCAGGAGGATTACTGTACTAGAGGGCCAATCTAGTCCACATAGTGAATTTCAGACCAGCTGGAGCTACACAGTGAGACCCTGTTTCAAAACCCAAAACAACAAAACCACCACAAAAAAAGAAATTCTAGCGTGGTTAAATCTTTTGTATAAAATGATGTCAGATTTCTTTACAACCTACACACAAATAGTACTGTATACTTTTTTTTTTTTCTTTTTGAGACAAGGTTTCTCTGTGTAGCCCTGACTACCCAGAAACTCATTCTATAGACCAGTCTGTCCTCGAACTCAGAGATCTGCCTTCCTGTGCCTCCTAAGTGTTAAAGGCATGCACCGCCACCAGGCAGCGTTTATACTTTTAATCTCAATATTATGTATACTGACTATATAATCTGAATGTTGCATAGTCGTTTTTATTGTTTAGGGGATAAAGACAAGGGGAAAATCTGTTCATGTTCATTACAAACACAGAATTTTCCGGGCATAATCCCAGCACTCTGGAGGCAGAGGCAGGCAGATGAGTTTGAGGCCAGCCTGGTCTACAGAGTTAGTTCCAGGACAACTATGGGCTAGGGCTGTTACACAGAGGAAAACTTGTCTCGAAAAAACAAACAAACAAACAAACAAAATACAGAATTTAAAATTTTCCTAAGAACTAGAGAGATGGCTCAGGTGTTAAGAGCAGTGGCTGCTCTTCCCAGCACCCACCTGGCAGCTAAACAGCCATCTGTAATCCCAGTTCTAGGGAATCCAACTCCTTCTTCTGTCCCCTACAGGTACCAGACATGCAATGTGTGTGGTGAAAGACATACATAGAGAAAAATAATCACACACATGAAGTTAAAATGTAACGAAGTTCCCATGTGTGACTGTGTGAGTCCAGAGAAATAGAACCCAAGGATACAGGAGTTTAATCAGAAAAATTTCCTTTTAGTGAGGTAACTGTGATCAGAGATGGCAGGTTTTATCCCCTTACCTCCTTCCCGGTATTGAACGTAGGCCTTCCACAGGCTAGGGTAGTGCTCTACCTCCGAGCTCCAGCCTCCAGCCTCATCATCTCTTCCCTCGTGCAACAATCCTTTGGCGACATGAAAGCCTGCCAGTTCTATGGCAGACACTGCATTTTCTCAGCAATGCTCAGCCCTGGGAAATCTGGAGCTAGGAGGAACAGCAGCGCCTAGCTTTCATGGTCTTGTGGTCAGGGTCTGATGAGCCTCCTCTCTCCACCTGAAGCTCTGGTTTCCCCAGACCACTTTTCTACTTTTAGTGACCTTCTGGCATCCATTCCCAGGGGCTCCCAAGCAGTTCAGGTAGTTGTGAACCTAGGAATATGTGCCCAGGATGAGGGTAACAAGGCAGGTCGACTGGGGAGAACTTGCCCTCCATGCGGCCCAGGCACCTTGTTCATTCCCCACGGAGTCCTGGTGCAAGCCTCTCTCAGAGAGGATTCGAGGTTTTATTTCTGATGCCTCCCAATTAATATTTTTGTAGTACCAAGCATAGAACTTGGGGCTTCACATGCCAGCTGAATGTTCTACAACTGAGCTACAGCCCCTTCTCTCGAGTGCTTGTTTGGAAGCAATCCTGGACTGCCTTTCTTGCCGGAATTATGGCTATACGATCTTCCAGATTTATGATTCTATGATTTGAAGTCTCCCTGTGTAGGTGTCACCCAAAACAATGCACCTTCTGCCAGGGAAAAAAGATATGACCTCGGGCTAAAACTGTTGCTTGTGGGACCCTGGCTTGATGACCGAGGAAGCATCCAGAGCCTGGAGAACTTAATCACCTGCTATCACCAGCCTTCACTGTGACAGGACCTGGCAGGTAGTGGCGGCTCACCTAGGACTTGTTAAATGAGCGGATGATGAATGAATAAATGAATGAATGAATGAATGAATGAATGAATAATGACATGAAGACCATGGAACTCTGGTGTCCAGTAGTTCTGGGTAAGGATGAGCTTACCTGGTAAGTTGCATCCCGAGGCCTCTGTGCCACCAACATAAGGGGCCACAGACTGCTGGAGGTTCCCAGGAAGGCAGGAGGGATTATTTATGGATTCTAGGGCCACCCATTTCTTATTTGGACTCCCTTTGGATTTGTGTTTATGGGCTGCCAGAGTCTGCACTCAATGTTTGTGACTCACAATGACACTCCTGGCTGATTCCCAGTCAACACTTCAGATTAGAGAGAATGCTTGCGAAGCGCTCAGCCAAGAGGCTTGCTGTGGCTGCTCACCTAGTGCTTGTGAAATTAACGGACGCCCAACGCTGGCATGCAGAGGAGCTGGGTGAGAAGGCTGGCTGTGGGCACCTGTGTCCTTGCAGCCCTGTGGCTATATTTGTTGGGGGAATGGATGGGAGAGGGCTGTTCTGTGTCCCCTGTAGGAGGTTCTGGTGTATCGTGGCAGCACTCCAGAAGTGACAAAGCAGGATGACTCTCCTGCCTGGCAGCAACAGCCATGCATGCCTGCTGGGGCGGTGGGGGTGGGGGTGAGATTCCTGGAGATCCAGGGATGCCCAGGTGCTGTCCACACTCCTCTTTGATAAATCTGACTCATCTCTTCTCTTAAATGACCACTGCCTCTAAGCCAAGTTCCTGTAGCTGCCCCCTGCAACCACCCGTTGCAAAAATAAATTCTTTTAGCAACATCAGAACTGTCTGCCTCTGATACAAGTCAGAGGACACAACTCTCCCTCACTCTCTGACACTCCCCACAGCCCACAGAACACTCCTCTTACCTGGCCGTCTCTATAGTTTGTTCTTTGCCTCCTTTCCAACCTAAGCACTTGACATACTCTCACGACCGCCATACCTTTGCCATGCAGACTTCAGCTCCTGTTTCTCCTTAAGCTTGAAAGACTCTCACCACATCCTTACTGCACTTAGCGCTCCTAAAGGCCCAGCTCACTTCCCATCCTCCTCAGAGTAGTAGCAGAGGGCTTGAATGACACCCATCCTGCTCATTACAATGGTCCACTTTCTATTTGGCCACTTCCGCCCTCTGCCTTCTTACTTGACTATGTAAATTAGAAGTGTTAGCTGCACACACCTTTAATACCAGCACTCAGGAGCCAGAGGCAAGTGGATCTCTGTGAGTTCAAGGGCAGCCTGGTCTGCGTAGTGGAATTTCAGGACAGGCTCTAAAGCTATACAAAGAAACCCTGTCTTGAAAAACAAAAACAACAAAACAAAACAAACTCCAAGCAAACAAGAAGTGTTGACTAAAATTAATGCCCATCTTCCCCCTATGCAAAAACTCTAGGTTCTTTTGGGGTGTGGCGAGGATAAACTCAGTGTCGCCCATTATGGGTGTGTACCACCACACCTGGCACAACTGTTTAGAATAGACTTTAGAGCAGGACAAGTCAGTACACCAGCCCGCTTACTTATCCTAGAAACAATGCACCCGTGCCTTAGGTGTCTACAAGCTTTGCCCACAGTCCTGGATAAGTACCAGCTGGTCTTCCCCATCTCCCTTCCCTACTCAGCTTATTCTCCTGTAGCAACTAAACCGTGGAGATGATCCTCCAGGGGGAAACTGGGGTGCGTGTGCCTCAGGCCTTCCTGGCTTTCCCTGTACAGTCCAGTCTATTTCCTGAAGCCAGGTGAATTGGGCAGGGTCTTGGGAAGGTCTGCCACCTCCAAGCCCCATCTCTCCCCACCCACAACCCCGTCAGGAACATCCTGGTATGGAAATGGGCCTGGGGGATCCCAGGAAATACCTGTTCAGCATGTTGTGTGTACCCACATAGCAGTCAGTCTTTCCCTTCCCATAGCAGGACAGGTGGACTCCTTAACCTGGCATCCCCCTCCCTTCACTGGGGCTCCCTTCACCTTGGCTCTCACCTCAGTTTCTTCCTCCTGGGCAAGCCGCTGCTCGATGAGCTCTGTGGCCCTCTGCACAGCCTCAGGACCCTCCATGGCGCCCTCCATATCTGCCTCAGCAAGCCACAGGACATAGGGTCTTTATAGGCCAGAGCACCCACCCCGCCCACTGGACGCCTTTGTCATGAGCTCACAGGCTCAATTTCTCCACCTGCCTCCCCCACCTGTCACCTTCACCTCGGACAGCCCCAGGGTGCATGGGAAACCACTGCCCAGGCCAGGGAAGTTACCCCTCCCCTAACCTATGGCCTACTGGAGCCAGAAGGCACAGCGCCCCAAGAGGACAGCTGCAGGAAGGGGCCCAGTGTGTCCTCGGTGCTGGGAACTGCTAAGTCTGCACAAAGGACCAACATGCTGCCACTGGCCTGGGTGGCAGTGCCACCTGCTGGATACCAAGAAATCCTATCCAGGTAGTGCCAGATAGGGGGCCTGAAAAATCGAATATGAGCCTCAACAGACCTGTGTTTCTAGGGACTTTGGGGACCTTCTCGAGGCAGGAGTCAGAGCAGCTGTTACCCTCTGGTGGCAGCACACCCTACTCAAGCATGGCTATGCTGAATGGCATGTCCATTAGCCACAGCCAGACCTTGTCCATCTGTTTGCCTGCTCTTCCCAGAGCCCTCAGCAGAACTTACAATGTTGCTTTAAGGGAAGAGTCTTGGGAAGCCAGGGTGAAGAGCCAAGGCCAGCTGAGGAGGAGACTAGGCAATGCCAGGCTGCCTTGGGTGAGGCTGGCCACACTCTCTGAGAACAAAGAGTACATGGAGAAAAGGCAGACCTCCACTCACTGAGCTCCACACCTGGGACTTGCAGCCTGGAGTCCTGGGTTTAACCCGCCAGTGGTCTCCAGTGCCCCACCTTTGTACTTCTACAACCACAAGTGATGCCCCAGGGACACCTTAGCTGAGATCCCCTTCTGGTGATGCGCACCGTCCCCCAGAGGAAAGAGAGGAACTGACCCGCTGGTCTCTGGCTCACACACTTGTGGAAGCTTTGCTCTGACACAGCATGGGCACTGCATCACCCATCTCCAGGCTGGCACTGTAGGGCAGCAGACACAGCTCAAGCTGCCTTCTGTGGCGCTCCTTTCCTCTTTCACATGTGCCTCCCACTTAACCATCCCAGCAACTGCTGCAGGAGGCAGGGCAGGGGGTGCCACCTCCACTTCAGAGAAAAGTAAAATGTATTTGGAGGTAAAGTGACTTTTTCCAGGACCCATGGGAACACAGACAGGTTGGATGCTCTACTGTGCCCATCGGTTCCCAAACCAGCAGGAGCTCTGGGCTCCACCATGCTGTGGACTGCAAGTCAAGGGCTAGGCAAGAGAGGAGCAAAAGGCTTTATTGATAAAATACAGATGTGTCTGTACACAGGGCCCTACTGGGGCCAGGACCAGGCTACAGACCCCACCCTGCCTGGGTTACAGTTGGGGATGGCCCTGTGCAGGCCCCAGCCATAAAGCCTGGCTACCTGGCCACCTGCCTCATCTCTGCCGATTGTGCTGGGTTCAGGGAGAGGCAGAGAGGCCCGCCTCAAGCTCTCCAAGCTCTGGGGCTCACTGGTGATTTCCTCCCCTCCAGGGGACTGGTACTATGCCCAGGGCAGAGTCATGGGAAGGGATAAGGAAGGTGGGGGAGAGACAGCAATTGTTTCCAACCCTGAGCAGAAAACTGGAGTGAGCACAGTGGTGGCACCAGATGACAGATCTGGGTTCCAAGGTCTCAGGCTGGCCCCCATGGCTCCAACCTATAGTGGAGAATGCCAGGTGCCTTTTCTCTGACAAGGTTGGCAAGGCCTGTGTGTGGCAGGCAGCACTGCTCCCTGGGTGCAGAGCACTGGTGGACCCAGTGCCCTGGAAGGCAAGTCCCTTCATAGCTCACTAAGAGCCAAACCGCAGGGTGGCAGGAGGCGACCCTGAAGAAGACAATAGCACTGGAAGGCAGCAACAGGCAGGGAACCTTGTGCTCCAGGCCTAAGCCCCACAGCCTGCAGGGGACCTCCATGGCCTCTCTTCCCAGGAGTCAGCTGCCTGTCAGTCCTGGGGTGGTGGGGGCTGGTTGATGATGACCTGAATGACGAAGTCCTTTTGAATTTTGGTTTCCTGGAGCCGTGTGCGGTCTGTAAGCAGCTTCCCGGAGAAGAACCATCTCTGCCAGGATGGCTCGATGCCCTCCTGGCTGTGCAGCTGCCTTTTGAGCTGCCCCACTGTGTCGGGCAGGCTGGCGTTGAGCCTCACGTCCTTGCCTGTGGAGAGGCGCACTTTCAGTGGGAATTCACGTCGCACACTAGGGGTGGGCTCAGGGGGCTCCAGGCTCTCCTCCTCTGTGTGCTCCAACAGCAGGTTCACAGGTGGTGACAGGCAATAGACGGGCAGTTGGTAGCGGTTGCCCAGCTCATCATAGCATTCACAAAGGGTTCCTGTGGGAAAGGCAGGGCAATCAGTGTAGTGTAGGGACCTGCTGTCATGCACTGAATACTGTGTCCCCCAAATTCCTATGATGAAGTATATCTGAAGGTAATAGTTACATGAGTAAATGATAAAGTTGGGATAATCTGATGGAATAAGTTTTCTTACAAGGAAAGGACCCAGAGAACTCTCCCCATACCCTCTCTCTGCCTGTCTGCCTGTCTACCACGTGAGAACAGCAAAGAGGTGAGAACCCTCACCAGAACCAAATGGCTGTCACTTTTTCCTTGGATTTTCCAGCTTCTAGAATTGTGAGAAACAGATTTCTAGTGATTAAGGAACCCGTGTGTGGCATGCTGTTTACAGCAGCCTAAACAGATTAACTTGCCCTGCAGCTACCTTCAGTCCCCAGGCTCATCCCAGAGTCAGGACTCTCTAGGACATCCTTAAGGGCAGAAGAACACAGGGCTGGCTCCATCAGCCATGGCATGTTACTTCTCACTTGTTTATTCAACATTTTGGTTGAGTACACATGCTAGGTGCTGGGCTGAGCCCCAA